GCGAATCCGACGAGCACAGAAGGACTAAGCGGGGTGACAACTTCGGGGCTTGGTGCGTGACGATGGATTGTCCGCATCGGAGAGAGAGGGAGAGGAAGAGAGTTGAGGTTGATGGGCGCGGAGTTGTAATTTTCTTTGTAATTCTCTTTGTCCTTTTCTTTACTTCTGTACATAAGTTTTGATTTCATCTCGGGCAATTCGCCCGCATTTTCCTTTCGCATCTTTGTGTCCCGATCTTTCCTTTCTTTTGTATATTGGATGAACGAGTTTCGATGGAATGAAATGTTTGACGTTTTTGCCTAACCTTCATCGTTGCTTGCCACTTTGATCTGTTGTCGTCACGATGTGAGTCCTGATGTTGTTGCGGTGTCTGATGTGTGTGATGCCACCTTGCATGCTCGAAAACGATTGCTTGCGGGACCACTGAATAACTAGATGATTGGGTAGCTAGCCAAGACACGTGGCGATTTTGCATGAAGGATTAAACTCTCACTTTTGTGTGAACGCCAACCAACAAGTCGTGGTACGAGAGAACACCTCGTGGGGATACGTGTAAGCGCGATCTGATTTGCGCAGCCTACACGTGTCCACGCGCGGCGATTCGCAATCATTGACGAACCTGGCACCTCCAGTATTGGGATAGGCGAGAAGTTTTCCTTCTTTCAAGCGCCTAAGCTGACAAGAATTTCCGACACCATATATGGAAATCCCCCTGTCAGTCAGATGCGTGGAGAAGGCTTCCACTACGCCGCAATGACAAGATGACGTACACACGAGACTCAGGGTACTTCGAGCACTGGGAGGAAGAATATCTTAGGCTGAGGTATCTGGAATTCCCCTGCCTAACCGAGAACCGACTGTGCGCCAGGGACTTCCACCGCGCCGTAACCAGCAACCCAAGGTGCCCCGACTACCGGACCACTTATAACATGCAATATTTTATATCCCCCGGCTTCGTCGTTATCGCCACCAATTTCCCACCCTTCCATCTCCTCCTCCCATACCACCAACTCACGGTGGTGCTGTGGAATTCCATCGCCCCGTATTGGCCCCACACGCCGTGCAGAAACTGCAGATGACGCGGCAACCGCCAATCCTTCGGGACTACGGAGCCTAACTATAACACGCGACGACAACCGACACGTGTCCACACCCGGAGGACCGACCCATAGAACTCGCAACTCACACACAGCGGACCCCTTCCGGACCACCGTCACTAAAACGGGCGGATCGGACGGCCCGAGATGTACCACGCATGTCATCGGCCTTATGCTGCACGACATCGACCGCCATCGGACCGAATGTAACCCATCCCTTAGCCTTATTGCACCTATGCCCCTGAAACCCTGCCACAGAAGATCTTAGTTCTGACCTGGGACTCCCCCCCCCCCACCAAAAATCCTTGGCACACCCCTTTTCGCACTTCCAGACCCACATCCCACTACGATCAGGAAGTCGCGCAGGGCGTGAGGTTGGGCGTCACAAGACCCCTTTTTCGCACTTCCGGGCCCCCATCCCACTCCGATCAGGAAGTCGCGCTGGGCGTGAGGTTGGGCGTCACATACTGCATCCCTGTCACGACCTCATCCCCGCTGGCCGCAGGATCGCAGTCTTCCCCCGAACACAATGAACTCTGATTACAAATGCATACGCAGTATCTTTCCAAGTGCAGACGAAATGAGGGTGGCATCACCTATGGAGAGGACCTTGATATAGGAAAGCCGGTTGCTTCCTGGGAAGGGAACTCTGGCCACGGGTGAAGAGGTTTTGAAGTGTCCTGGTACCAATAAGAGTCTCCCGGCTGCAGCACAAGCGGTTAACAGGGACCCCGACCTTCATCAACAAGCATGGTTACTGCCATGAAATTACTTTTCTGCCGTTTTTGATTCATGCTTGACAGGCCCCCAGAATAGATGGGCCACTCCTGTGTGGGTGCTAGCCCCACAAGAAAGAGGGTGCTATGTGGGTGCCGTCCCCGTCCCCGTCCCCGTCCCCGTTTCCGTTCCCGTTCCCGTTCCCGTCCACGTCCACTTCCCCACCCCCACCACGCAGCCACCCAGTAGTTCACACGCCGGTCAATTTCACCGCACGAAAAAAGAAAAACAAAAAAAAACAGTGGAGCGGACTTCACCGCTCGCCCACAGTAGCGTCCTTACGGAAGCATCCACTGCACGCCCGCAGCATTCCGCGGGCTTCCGCTCATCGAGGATGTCCGCTTCCTGGGCGGATTAGCGGACCAGCGGACGAAGGAAAGGCCTGGCGCTTACGCAGGTGAGTAGCTGCTCGACCCGCCACTATCGAAGGCTACTACCAGTAGGCGACGAATTGAGCGGGCCGTCAGATTCCTGGCCCTGACACAGAAGCGTCCCGTTTTGTTTTTCTTTTCTTTTTTCCCGGGAGTTATTTTTCGCAGGGTCCCGCGCGGGCTTTTGACAGAAATAGAGCTGCGGGCGGGGGCGAAGAGGGAGCCCAGGGGCCAAGTCCCACTAGCTGCGTTGAGTTTCCTCAACGCCCGAATTTGGACGTGCTTGATGCGATGTGCGTTGCAGGAAACTCAACGTCAGTTCTGCACATCTCCACAAACACATCCAGATTCAGGCGTTGAGGAAACTCAACGCTGCTATTTGGTAGTGGGACTTCGCCCCCGCAAGGGCTTACGGAACCGCGAATCTGACACCTTTCCAAGGGGTTTCAAAAGACCGGAGTTCGCCAGGCTGTGTGACTGAAACCCAAAAAAGTCGAAAACGCTCGACCCGAGAGTCATGTGGCCAAAAAAAAAAAAAAAAAAAAAACCGAAAAAAAGAAAAGAAAAGAGAAAAGAGTCATGTGGCGAGATCCTCACACATTTGCACCCGCGAAAAACTTCCCGCTCCCGTTCCCGCCCATATTACGTGCCGCACCGCGTTCGAACGCTACAACTACGCGACGATAGTGGGACTTGGGCCCGGCCGGCGGAGGCGCGAGGTAGACGGCAGGGTGCCGGCACGTCGAGGCGGGGGACGGCACGGCGCGGCACGCCGCGGCAAACACTTGGCGGAACGGCGGGTTACAGCCCCGCCCGGCAAAGCACAGGGCTGGAAGGTTGAGCAGGTGATGGTAAGGTGATGGGAAGGTGATTGTGCGGTGCTGGTATGGTGATGGAGAACGGCAGAGATATCGTGGATCGGAGATAACAGCGGATTCTTGGGCGCCATAGCTGGATGCCCCATAGTCGAGAGGTAGAAGAAGAGGGAAAAGTCAAATACTGGTCAACGTGCTTGGTAGATTAGTCGGCTATGGCGGATCAGGGTGGGTCAGGGACCTGGCTCGGCCCAGGAAGAGGAAGCAAGAAACCGCCCAAGCCATCGCTCTCTGTCGGCGCATCGCCTGCTCGGGGCGGAGCCCCTTTCGAATCGCCGGATGTCAGTATGGAAGGACCCAGCAGCGCCGAGTGGCATCATTCAACCTCTCAGGTGGTTGACTATCTTTGCCACCGTTCTCTATCTCCCTCTTTACTAGGAGCACGTTAGGGCATGCTTAAAAAAAACTAGGAACTTTGGAACTGCATTTCACCGTAACTCCGCCCAGATGCCTTCTTGAAAGTCCTAGTTGAGTACAGGGCTTTGTATGCCGTACGTTAAGGGCGGGGTGTGTGTATTCTCTTCTCATGCTTTGAAAAAAAGGCTGAACTTGTTTGCTGGTCTTTAACTGCGTCGTTTGCTCATCTCTCCTCTGCTTGACAGATTTAGCAGTTGTGACAACTTATCGTCCTGCTATGGAGGAAAGTGTTGGCCCATGGCTGAGTTTCCTCGCGGATTCTTTCTTTGTGACAATTCTTCCGCACTGGGAATTCAGTCATGATGGCAATTTATTCTGCCTACTTCCTCTCAATTGTATAGATCTCCACTCTCTCCAATCGATTTATGCCGATCTCCTCCTCTTGCCCAAATCTCTCTCTCTCTCTCTCTCTCTCTCTCTCTCTCTCTCTCTCTCTCTCTCTCTCTCTCTCTCTCT